TACCTGGCACTTCATCACTATGGGAATTGAATGCAGCATGTTTACTATAATGGAGGAACCACACTTCAACACTTCGGACTCGGGGGCAGAAATTACAGCTCCAGAGCAGATGAAATATAAACAATAAATTACTGGCTAGAATAACTCTAGTTTCATTAACTCTGCACTGCAACAAAGGTAGCTCAATTTAGACTTCATTACAGCAAACAATTACAATAACTTTCTTTGGTATTAAAAGAAAAGCAGTCATTGTTTTCATGGTAGCAGAAATAAGAAAAAACATTATATATAAGCTTAGAAAATAATGATACTAAGCTCAGATCCTGGTTTCTCTGGCCAGTACTTCAAATTAAACTACTGCTTTACACTTCAAAGTCAGTAGCACCACACCTGTAAGAACCTTTACAGAGACACTGCATTCGGTGAGTCAAAAAACATCCAGCTGAGAGGTTTGGGTATCAGTCCCCTGGGCAGTCCTGTGCAAAAGGAAGCACAGATGTCTAACTTCATAAAGCCAAATTACTAAACCCTGCAAGAAATAAGGAAAAGGAATACTGTGAATCTACTATATTATGTCAGGTCTGGCCCCAAACCAATCTACTTTTTCTCTCTTACTTGCAATGTTTAATCTGTAGCTTTTCAGTAATGTATTTCAGAAGACAGTAAATACTTCACAACTCTTAAACAAACTCCACATGGCTAAACAGTAATGTTCTAGAAGCAAAACACTCGACTTCAATCTTCCAGTGGCTCACAATAGTAATAAGATGACAAACAAATTAAATAATAAAAATGAAATAGCATAAGATACCTCAACAATGCCCTTTTAATCTTCAGCAAACTTGACATATAATGTAAGCACTGAAGCAGCAAGGAGATGATGCTGCTTAGAAAGCAAAATCTCAATTTCTCCCTGACCTACAAATCATAAGCCATCAGTAGTGCCACTACCATACATCCACACTGTAGCTCATGGAGATCCTGCTGCAGCTTCTGAAGTCTCAAGTCCGCAGAGATGTAAGAAAAGCACAACTATTAGTGAGTAAACCAATAGTTATCCACAGAAAGCAGAGCTGAACCCACCCACCTGGTGAAGGAGCTCCCAGTTACACAGTGCTCCTCCTCTGGAACCAACCCAAATCCAAGAGAATCTCTTCCTGCTGGCCCTTGTAAGAAGTGGTTCCACCCCTTCTGCTCAGGTGGGGAGCACAGGAGCAGTCAATGTGCCTGAGCCACAGCCCTTCACCAGGTGCTCCATCAGCAGCTCAAGCCCTGACCTAACAGCTCCCTTACAGCAGCAATGGGTTTATTTCATGGTTCCATTTTTTCTAAGCTATTATGGCACCCTCTAAATGCAGCGGTTTTAATCTGGAAATGAACCAGTGTCTTAAATAATGCTGGATTTTTAAGATGGGACATTTCCTTTAATCACAACCACATGGAAAGAGGGACAAATAATCTTCATGTTTTCCAAATGTTTCTTGTATCTAAACTGGAGGAACCACTGCCTATGCTGGAAATCATTTCTTTCACACATCAAGACAATTTTAGAGATCTCCGAGATTGAAATGTTTGCGAGGACCTGCCTAGCAGCATCCAGACTACACGAAACCTATCTTAACAGCCATCAAACAAGTGTGGGGTCAAAACCACTTTATTGGGCAGCCTGGGATCTGTGACCTAACCACTACGACACTGGTCCTTTCTAAATACGCTCAACATTCAAAGTCACTTTTTTCATTGTAATTACTATCAGTTGATTGCAGAGGTTTAAGACTTGCCAAATCAGACAAATAGATCCTTCAATGAGATATTCAGAGAGATGTAAAGCTGCACATGTTTTGGTTCACAGGTTCATTCCTCACTGTACTATTCCATTTTCTATCTTGTGTAAATCCTACACTTGTCAAAACATAGTCAGGTATCTACAGAAGCACCCACTGATTCTCCTAAGTTAACTTGTCAGAGGTTCTGAAAAATATAATTAAGCAGATTCCTTTATGTTCATTGTGGCCAACCTCCTAAAACCAACTTTAGATGACTTTTATTTGCTGGGACATTTCCACTGATTTTACATAGACTGGATGACAAAAATACAACTCCATAGCAAAGAAATAATGGTAAAAGAACAGTATCAATTTTAAAAGAATTTGAATAATTAAATTAGTGAAAACAAATCAATCCAGTTGTTTCAGGGGTATTATGGTGCCTTGCTTAGTTAAGAGCCATAATTCTCACAGAGAGGCTATTTGTTTCAATGGCCATACATCCCAGCCCTGGCAACTATTTTAGGATGCGTCCAGCCATGTTCTCTGAAGGAATGAATAGCGACTTGGCACGAGACTCATTAACTAAATTGAAATCTTCCCTATAAGAGATTAATCTATTTTATAACACCAGCCATACTTACATTTCTAGTGGGTCTCCTGTACATTTTCTATTCCCAAGTTACCGACGTTCTAGAGCAGCATGCAGGCATGTACTTTGATCGGTCGAAAAGTCAGTCAGAGCATTCCAAAACACCATGGCAATCAATGACTTTAATCACTACTTTCAAATGCCATTTTGTTTGATGTAGTGTGTACAAATTAATGATGAATAATAGATGCTGTCCACTTACTATTAAATGGTTCCATGTATACATGCCAAAAATGCTACTTCTTTAAAACATGGCTGCAGTAAGCCTGGCTTCCAGCATTTCAAAAGATTGGCTATTACTTAATTGAGTTGCCTATTCTTATGGCATTGAGGGGAAAAAAAAAACAAAATCAACCATAAAAAGAATTAGGCAACCTATTTGCCTTGCATGCTATTTCAAATGAATAAAATTTAAAAAGACTTAAGCTAACGCAGAAGATGTAGACTTTGGAACATCAGTGCAGAGAACCAACAGTGGCCTTCCAGAGTGTTCTGGATTGCAAGGAAAGTAGGAGAAATAGGCAGGAGCAGGATGCACTAACGGTGAGCAAAAATCTTTCACCACAGGATGGTGGCCTTGTTGGTTTGACACAAAGTGGCCAAGGGAAAACAAAAATATTTCATTAAGTAAATGATCATCAAGTTGCATGTGTATCCTAAACGTTTTTATTATGGGGAGAACACCTTTTCCAAAAAAAAAACCAAAAAAAAAGTGGGGATTTTAATCCTTAAAAATAAAAAAAGTAAAAAGAAATCCCCCAGTTTCAGATGACTCATGTAATGTCCAACTAATCTTACTGAATCCTATAAATCCTTTTCCAATCCATATTGATTCAACTCTGGAAGTGGCTTTTTTCCTCTCTCTTTCATAGACTCCAGCAAGATAGTAAAAGAATTGATCTAACCTTTCACCTCTGATGATTACCCTGACGGCCATTAAGAAAAGAATCACCTTCAGGCTGGCCAAGATAGTGCCACACTTCGGTTCAAATGTAAAGACTAAAGCTAAAGGAAACTCACACTTGGCTGCCTCAGTGTTTGTTTACAGTGCTTGTGCCAGTGCTTCGTGCTCACATCATAAATTATAAACCTGGTACCACAGGAACTCTTAACAGGTTTCCCCCACAGTGCATCAATTCTGACAATAACAAAAGCCCACCAAAAAGCTGCAGAAATCACATGTTGCATCAAACCAAATACAGAAGCTTAGTTTTATATAACCAACATGCATGCAGATGGTCTTCATAAGACACCTACTCTAAACTGCAGTTTGTACACAGTATGTTTGTACCAAGTATATGGCAGGAATTTTGCCCTTGCTACACAACATCCTGACTGAACATAATGGGAATGTGCCCCCCTCTGCAATTGTTACCAGTTCCTCCCACATTAAAGAACTTCTGAGACCAAAATCCACTGCAGACATTTTAAATGAACAGATGAAAAATCAAGGAGGTAAAAAATTGGGGTCAATCCCAGCTAAATACCAGGTCAAATCCGAGAGCAGGTTACACTCATGGAATTTCAGTTACTCACACTGACAGCAACTACGGCAGACAAAATGAAATCAAAGCCAACTCTGTAAAGATCACATGTTAAATAAAATACATTCTAAGCACCTTTGGACAATACATGAGGATAAACTGCACAGTGAAAGTATGCACTGTGACAGCACTGTTCTTCTAAACCTTGCACTCCTAATACATTCCTTTAGCCAAGCAAAGGGAAGATAAACCCATTTGCCTAATGGAGCATGTAATTTAAATATTTTAGGCAAGCGTTTACAGAGAGGTTGCTTAAAATAAATTTAACAGCCATCCATCCAAGCAGCTTGATGAAAGGCACTGCATAGTTCACAACTTATTTTTTCAGAGCTATGCAGCCCCTTCAGTTACTCCAACCACGGGGTATGCTCTGTTTTACCGAATATAACTAAACACCTCTTCCCAAGCAGATTTAACGTGGAGCTGCAGTTTTCTCTATTGCAGTCACATTCCTAAAGCCACTACAATTTCAGCTCTTAGTGCTGCACCATGCAGTCTTCCACAGCTCTGCAAACAAAATACGTTGAAAATTACAGATACTTAAAGGAGTGATGTACTTAACGCAGGCTGCAGCACTTCATCATGGGAAGACACAGTAAGCAGTGCCAGTATTCCATCATGGAGAATCACCATTTTTGCTATAAAGATTCTCATTAATGCAAACAGTGCTGTTAGACACACAAACTTGTACCCGCTATTACTAGCATTGAAGCAGGTCCTCACTTGACTTAAATTTACCAGCCAAGGATTTTATTACACGCTAGGAATCACATGCTGTACTGTGACCTGCCTAAGGCACAGCAGTACCCTGTAAAATGCAAAGGGTTATAAGAATTACCCCTTCCACATGCACAAAGAAGTACACCCATCTAAAAAATAAAAGGATAAAGACAGCCTTTAGTATAGGAACGCTTAAAGTGAGCATTTTAAAGAGTTGTGTTCAAGTTCTGCAAGCGTTAGATTTTAACCATGCACGACAGCACTGCAGGAAAGTGAAAGGAAGGGAAAAGGAGAAAGAAAAGAAGGAAACCACCTAACTTTGGCTCCTAAGCTCGTGACGGATTTCACGTTAGTGAAGGAATCGCTCCGTTCCGTTCGGTCGTTGCACAGAGCCATCTCGCCCGCAGCCAAAGCAGCCGGAGCGACGCCGCCCCTCCACGACACGAGCCGCCCGTCACAGCGCCGCCGTGCCGAGGGGCCGCAAGGGTGCGCGGCCGGCAGATGCGGCTTTGGCCATTCGTACGCATCAACTCCTCCCCGCGTACCTCGCGACCGAGCGAGGCACGCCGTTAAACCCGAAGCGCCGAGCTTCGGCGAACAAAGAAGGCCGCTCCGCAATCGCGACGCAAAATCGTCCCCAGACGCGCCGCACCCCGAGGACCCCCGGAGCCCAGCCGCCGCCCGGCCCGCCGATCCGCTCACCACCTCCTCACCGCCTCCACCTCCTCACCATCTCCTCCGCCTTCTCCCGCTTCTCTGCCCTCCGCTGATCTTCCTGGCTGCCGCCGACTTCGCGCTGCGGCCGGGAGCGGGGCGTACGAAGGAAGGAAAAACACAAACGGCGCTCTTCAGCGGAGCGCAGGGCAGCAGCCGGGCAGCGCGGCACCCCCGCACCGCCGGCCCCGCAGCGCAGCCCGCACCGCCCCGCGCATCCCCCGGGACCGCGGGCCTCGCCGCCTCCTCACCCGGCGCGGCGGCGCGGGGCCGGCCTCCCCCCCTCCTGCTCCTGTCTACAAAGGGCACCCGGGACCATCTCTACCCCCGGGGGAGGCGGGCGGGATCCTTAACCCTTTCCTCTCGTGTACCTCTGCCGGGAGTATTTTGGCTGACGTTTGCGGCGCGGGGCGTTTCTGCGGCTCGCCGCCGCCGGGGCCGCTCGGCGCACAGCTCCGAGGGCGGCGCCGACAGACGCGCACCTTCCGAAGCCGCATCGAAAATAAGCGACCGCCTGCGGAGCGCCTCCGGCCGCGGCTCCTCGCGCGGGCCCCGGGCCGCGCCGCTGCCGTCCCTCAACTCTTTATTCTTTTAATCGGGGCATTATCATTCCACAGCGTTCACGCTGAAAGGGGGGAGAGAAGCAGCACCCCCGCCCGCCCCACACGCGGCGCGGCGACGTGCGCGGCTCTGAGGGGGCGGATCTGAGGGGGCGGCCCCGCGCTCGCGCTCCCGCCACCGGCTCAGCCTCGCGCTGCCCCTCTGCAGCCGCCGCGCGAACCGGCGCGCGCCGCCAGCTGCCGCGAATTTTCCTATTGGCCGCTTCCTCCGCGCTCTCGCTCAGCAACCAAAATCTCATTGGTTCTCTCCGTTCTCCGGCTGGCCGCCGCAAACCGCGTCGGCCGACGGGGCTGTCCGAACGGCCCGGCCCACCCCACCCCATCGGCGGGCGGGCACGCGGTGCGGCTCGCGGCGGAAGTGGGGAGGGTTCGGGGCAGCCGCTGAGGCGCGGCCAGGGGTGCTGCTCCCCCCCCGCGTGACGTCATGCGAACGGCCCGCGCGGAGGGCCGAGCGGCGGAGCTCCGTTGCGGGGGAGCCGAGCGCTCCCGCGCGGGTGCAGACCGAGGAGCGCGGTGGGACGCGCAGGGAGCTGCCAAGCCGCGGGCTTGTTCAGTTTCATCGGGCTGGGATGATTTGATGCCGCGTCAGGTGGTTCCGTCGGTAAATCCGTCGCGTGAGCTGCCCGTCCAGCCGCCGTCAAAGAAGATCTCGCATCGCCACCTATGGCCGCGCATAGCGGCCAGGAGCCGGGCCGGGGCCGCAGCGTCAGCGTATCTGACAGGACACTGAAAGCGCGCTCGGTGCGTTCTGGCTACGAGATAGGAGAAAGTTAGTAACAGCAGAGCCGGTTCCCTCTTAGTTTTTGTGAGGAACTCGGGACAATCTGCGAGCCGTTCGCCAGGCACGCGGTTGCGGCTCCCAGAGGCTGGCAGCTCTGGCCCGGGCTGCCCGCAGCGCCGCGGAGTCGCCGCCCGCCTGCGAGCTTCGAGCGTCACCGACGGAGGGGCTGAGCGCGGAGCCCCCGGACGGCGCCAGAGCGGGACGTCGCCGCTGCGGGGCACGAAGGGGCGGTGAGTGTGACGGGTCTTCCCGGTCGACAGCAGATTTCCAGAATCTTTCGGCAGGTCAGCGCTGCCGTCCCGCTGCTGGCGGCGGGGGCTGTGGAGGTGACGTGCTTCATGCCACGGGACCGACGACAGGGCTGACCGCCGACCCCGAGTTTTCTGTTTTCAAGATGAGAGGCTTTGCCTCAAAAGCCACGTTACGTACTCCTACATCCCTGGGAGGTCTTTCCATTAACGTTTATTCTCTTGTGCATACGAAGTTTATTACTCTTAGAACGGTCACGGGCTCTTCCTTAGGAGGCGTTACCAATAAAGCGTCCTTAATTTACAAGTTCCACTGAAACGGCCCGTTGCCTCCTGTGAAGGAGTCAGAAATAGGGCGGAGGGAAAAGCGGGGGCACCTGCGCTCCAACGGCCCTGAGCGGCGCGGGAGCCAGCCAATGGCGGCTCGAGGAGGGGAGGCGGGGGATCCGTTTTCCAATAGCCCGCGGGGGGCGGGGCTCCCGCAGCCAATCGGGGCGGGTGCCGCTTCAAACTCACCGTGCTCCCGGAAGCGGCTCTGCCGGGCTGTGCTGCTGTCCTCGGCGCGCTGGGTGAGTGCGGCGCTGCGCGGCCACGGGGGATGCCTTCGGGTGCCTTCCTGCGTCCCCCTGCGTCCTACCGCAGGAGCTCGTCGACTGCGGGTGTCCCTGTAGGGCCCGGGGCTGTTGGGTGCTACCTGCGTACGGCCGTACCTCGAGGCTCGGCTTGGCTGTAGTTGTACGCGTTCCGGTGTTTCAGTTGTGGCTGTAGTGAGTGTGCTGTTTTCCTTATCAGTGTTTGTTAATAGAAGCCAAGTGGCTAAAAAGTTAGCTAGTTTGTTTCTCTCCTTGTAAACTGTGTGCGCACTGAAATAGAAAGGCCAGGAGCAGGCGGGTATGGTGGGCTCTGCAAAGCATTTCCACTGACTGCTTCCTTGTGTTTCCCAAGAATAAGGAATGGTAAGCAATTTTTTGTCACATTCCTCCCTAGGAAATGAGGAAGCTAAAGCTAACTGTGTTTGCGTAACAGGAGGAAGAAATCCAGAATGGGCCCTGGGCCTGCAGGGGGAGAAAATAGGGACACAAAAATAAAGATTAGGTTATAAGTCTGAGGTTGTCAGAGTTGTCAGCATCTTCTTCCTTACACGTGATGTTCTTTAATCTCATTCTGGTTTGCACTGCTGCCTCCTGCAGTGAAGATGGTCCCTTTGCCCCGGTAAGGTTACCAGCCCTTCATCCTTCAGGAATAGTCTTTGTACAGAGCAGCCTGAGAGCTGACACAACAGCATCCACCTCTTCCTTCCCATCTGTATCTCACTTTCAGCCCTCCTACCCTTGCTGTGATTTTTTTCCAATTGCTCCTGGTTGCAACTGGGGAAAAAAAAAGAAATCATTCTTTTCAATGTCTCCTAGTTCAGTATGGAAAACTCATTGTAATACTGAAAGAATATCCATCCAGTTTTCTTCTTTCATGAGCTTTTGAGGAATATAGCGCTCAGTTTCCTGTAAACAAATTGAAGCAGTAAACCAGTTGTAGACTCTGGCTGTGAGTTACTGCTGTGCCACATAACCTGTCAGAATTAAGTGACTAATGATCCTTAGGCTATTTTTCAGACTTGCCAGAAGAACAGTTGTGGATCAGCTGAGAGGTGTTTGGGATTGCTGTGGTAACTGACATGTTATTTATGGCACTTCATTTGGGAGAACAAAATACATAACAAATGACTTCATTTTTCAAAGGCTGCTATTGGGAGATCTTATGAGTGAAGTGGTTTTATGCCAAATTGTGAATTGATTGCTTCTAATCAACCAGATGACGGTACAAACCTAGGAAAAGAACATCCACAATCTATCACAATTTGGTCTCCTGTTACCTCCTGTAACCGCTGCTTTCTCCTGGCGGTGTACATTCAGGTTTTTAACAGAACATTAGAGCTGATAAAACAGCACGCTGTGCTGAGGATGGCAGCACAGAATGAGAATGCCAGTTATTTCAATGTCATTTCCAAGCCACCAGCACCATTTGGAGCAGAATGCCTAGTCTCAGTGTGTTTGTTGACTTTTGTCAGGCTGGTTTGTGTGTGTTAGGTGTAAGTTGGATGGCAGACTAGAAACAAAGAAATAGAGATTGTTGCCATCATTTCGTGCATGAGAATTGTTGGGCCATGGACAAGGAATAATAAAACTGGATGTTACGAAAGCCTGTTATTTGGAGAGCAGTAAGTTTTTGCAGGGATTGCAACACCTTCTTTTATGTGAGTATAGCCTTGAAAGAATGACAATTGTATGAAGGTATTCAATTAAATATCTCTGTAATCATCATATCTTACTGCTTTGTCTGCTGCAACTAACAGTAGCAGTAATTTCTTATCTAAGCTTCATATAGGGTAAAACAGTGATAGGTAATTGGAATGAAAAGAGAATCAAGGTTAAGTAATTAGTCACTGAAATCTTCTATGCTAAGACAAATTTTAGAACACTGCCTCTCTTGAATGAGAATTGACTTCAGAGACACATTTTTAACAGTGCAGAACAATGAAAAGTAACCAGAAGGAACTTAGAACAATCTCCCTGGTCCATGAGGCTTATGGTTTTCTGAAGAAATAACAACTCTACCACAACATCCCATATCACAGCTTGGATCATGAGACTGCGGTCTGTTGATTACTGTTATGTCTTTATTGGAATAATGATTCTATAGAAAGCTTTCGTTTGGAGTATGTTTATAAAACATTGAAGGATTTTAAAAGTAACACAACCCAAAGCCAATGTAGTTCATAGAAGTCCGAGAATGGCTCTTCAGCTTCCGTATTATATTTGCTTTGCTATTTGTTTTTTCATATGTTGCTGACCAAAATATATTTGAACCAGCTTTTCAGTAAGCAAGAGTATGAGCACTGCAATGTTTAAGCTTCACCCCAGAGGCAAGGTTATCCTCTATGTGATTTGTGGCATAATAGATGATCTGCATTTTCTTTGTAGGCTGTTACAGAATGACCTTGCGCTGAGCTTTTGTGGAAAAAACAAGACTTAATCATTCTTCAATGTGCATCATTCTATTCAAATTCGATCCTCGGCCCGTTTCAAAAAATGCCTACAGGTAAGGATGGCTGAAACAGAGCTGTTTCTGCAATTTTTTGTGCAGTTTCTTGTGGCCTATGTTTGAATTACAAACTCAGGAGTTATTACTTGGTGTTCAGTTATGCTCATGTAGTGTCTAACTTAGATTTTCTCTCTGGGAGTACTTGAAGGGTTCTCACAGGGTCACTTTCATGTGTTGTTTTGCACCCTGGTCAGAGGCTCAGTCTCTAGTTATGGGCCTCTTGATGGTGATCTGTCATGTGGTGCAGGATGCGTCCTTCATAAATTCTAATCAGAGTTCCAAGTTCCTGCCTTCTCTTGTATCCTAAGAGCTAAGGGGAATCATGTTTGATGGACCATCAATTGCTTAATTGATCTCAATTTTCTCATTACTTTTTGTTAAGCAGAGCCTTGCTCTTTACCTCTGTAATAAATGATTCTGACCAGCCTTGCATGTCAGCAGTAAGTACTGTGCCACGTTGTTCTTGGTGGCTGATCTTAGTTTTATTGCTTCAATCAAACGCATAACTTCAGTCCCTTTTCTCCTTCCTTAACACACCATGGCTAAACTTTTTTTTTTTTTTTTAAAGAAAGTTGAGGTGCCTGGTTGTTGTGTTTTCAGTTTTTACTCTAGTTTCTTCACCTTCATCTCAGCTTTCTGGTGAACATAAATATCAGCTGGAGATGTTGCCCAGTTCTCTGCGAACTCGGAGCTCTCAGTTCTCTATGAGACCTCTCTGCACTGGCCTGCTGCTAACTGTACTTTCCCTGAGGGCTCCTGTGTGTAACATTGTGCTTGAGCTCTGTTTGCTTCGCACTGAGCTCATGGAACGCTTCTCCCAACCCAGAGGGGGATCTCTGACTGCAGGCCTGCTGCTGTGTTTGTCCACCTCAAAAAAGACATCTACAATTAGCTTTTATTATCCATTACTTTGTTTCTCTTGGTGTCTAACCATTAAAAGTTGGAAAGACAAACTGGGTTTCTTTGGCCGAGCTAAACAATGTTCTCCATAATGCTTGGGAGGGTTTCCCATCCTAGAGAACTTGATTTCCACAGCAGTACATTTGGCCACTTTTTGTGGGTGCCTGATTTAGCACAAAGCTTTGCAGATGATCTGAGTGCGTGAACGAATTCCTGTCCTCCTGTATGTTTGCAGCTGACTGTTCTGCCCTTGGTGTTCTCTCTGGGGACCTACGAGAAGTAAAGCTCAGGGCAGTGTAACAAATGCTTTACTGTAGTCATTATCATTGTCAAAGTTACTGCACTGCCATTATGCTATTCCCAACTATACTGTGTGCATCTTAAGAATACATGTGTTTTAAACTTCAAAGCTGTAATTGGAGACTTTTTATGGAACTGTATTTCATTGTATGGAATTGCTTTAATGGAACGATTTCTCATGTTTTTCTGTCTCAATGTTTAAATAAATCCTAATTAGTAAGTCCTAATACAGTTAATTTCAGCTGTAAAATAGCTGAACAGGCCTTTTGCAATTTATTAGATGCCAAGGGTCACTTCAGTAGTGATGCTTTTCACTGTGATTATGTTCCACAAATGACTAAATGAAGATGCTTTCAATGTACCAATCCTGTCTACTAGCCTTGTGCTAAATGCCAAAATTTATATATAAACTGAAAGATGGGGAATATTCTACCACACTGGAAAAAATCCACTTACTACTATTTAGGTTCCATAAACAAGTAGTGTTTGCTTCACTAGGAAGAGCTGCTCTTTTTCCCCGTGCATCCTGTATAGGAATCGCTTCCCAAAGACCGTGCTGAGCTACGTCTCCCACACTGGCAGATGCCTCTAGGATCCTCTTTCCAAATAAGGAGCAGAGGAAGCCAGACACAGCGGTGACAGAGAACACTCTGAGAGCTATTTCCTGCTTGTGTTGTTTAAGAACTATCTGCTTTAGCTGGATATCCAAAGAGTGGCAGAGCACTTTGAGTACAGGATGGCTGTGGAGTAAAACGTGCTTATTAAGAAATAAATGTGTTTCACCCAGCAGCAGTTTTCAGTTGCATATTTCTTATAACATCTGCCTGCCTTCTGACTGAGCAGCCTCCAGGGCTCCCTACAGCTTGTCTGCTGCGAGGACTCTCATTAGATATTCACATCTTGTTTCCTGCTGTTCTCAGATTATGCAGCAATCATACTTGTAGAAAGGTAAAAAGAAAAAAAAAGGGGGGGAAAAACAAAACAAAAAACAAAACAAAACAAAAAAAAAATAAGAAAGGGGAGCACACTCCATCCCCATATACTTCTTGACTGTTGCAGAAAAGCATTATTTTTCCTTTGCATCGCTGCGTTGTTGAGTGTGCTGTCTTCTCTTATTAATTGAATGAATTTCAGTCAGGATGGGCCTTGGAGGCTATCAGGTTTGTCTCTGTCCTGGATACTTTCAGACAAAAGTATTGTATCTTTCTACTGCATAAATAGTGCTTTAATCGTTGAAGTTAAATTAAAAAATACTGTGGTTGTGTGGCCCTAACTAAAGATAAAAAACATGTTCTTGTGCTTCAGATGAGCTTCCTATAACCTGCAAGTTCCCTTTAGAGTTCCTTGGGTTTTGTTTTTTTTTTTTGTTGGTTTTCTTTTTTTTTGTGTAGCTGTAACTTCACGTGCTGAAGAGTTATAAGATTGCCTTTCAGTCTGAACTCAATCTCTTGCTTTGCAACCATTTTTCTGTTCTTGGATATGAGCCTCATTCGTGCAGTAAGATGAATTTGTTCAATGTCTCAGGACAGTGTGAGAGAAGGCTGTGGTTAGCTGATGTTCAGCTTCTATGCTGATAGAAGTGAGATGCTAAGGTAAAGGGTGGTTTAATGCTTACAGTGAACTGTTGCTCTGGCAAAAAATGTTCTGTTATTCTCTGTGTTATAGAATCCCTATTTCCAAGTACATACCTTGCTACTCTTGTGTTCCACAGACTTATTCTAGCTGCTAATAGAGATGAATTTTACAGCAGACCATCCAAATCAGCAGATTTTTGGGACAGCAGCAATGAAATCCTGAGTGGTACGTAATGTTCTTGTATTTCTCGTTGTCCTGTGTAGAGAGTGCGATGTGCTGTTATTGTCTTATTTGTGTTTTAGAATCATGTAGTGGTTTTCCTCCCAATTTTCTTTTTACTGACTTTAGGCCAAGTAGTGTAATGGAAATATAGTAATATGTTTGTCCATCACAAACAATTACTTGAGCTTTGGCAGATATGCTGAAATGCTTTCTTAAATAGGTGGAATTAGTTACTCTGCAGGCTCATTGTCTGTACTAGTGACTGGAAATCATTAAAACAAGCCTCAAGGAAATTCTTCTAGTTTCTTATCAGTAATTTATAGGCTACATAGTGGTTTTAGTTATTGATCCATTAGTTTATTAGATTTGATCTACAATCAGTTCAGTAAAATGTAGTTATTCAATTGTCTACTTTTCCTTTGTAGGGAATCTATCTGCAGCCTTGGGTACACAAAGCAATGCTTAGATCCAAGGCAGCAAACAGTATTTGCAAAGTCATGGGTGTTACTGTCACACACTGTGTGTTATTGTCATTGGCAGGGAGAGCTGTGAGGATAAATGACTCCCACTGCACTGCAGCTCCTTTGCTTCTCAAGCTCTGCCTGACATTCCACTTCTGTGCCAGACATTCTGGGTGCTGCTTCCCTTGTGTCACAGGAATTTAAAAACAAAGAACTACCCCGAAAACTGAAGAGACCTGAACTTGCTCTTACACCTTTGTCATCTCTGCCTGCATTTGGCATGAGAACACACGTTCTCCATTCAGTGGGTCTGTCTGTGGAGAGCCCATTAATATTCTTCCATTGAGTTAAAATTGTTGAATCAAAGCAGCAGTTCAGAGAACAAAAACATTAAATTCTTCCATTGTATGAATCTATGAACATTTTTGGACCTGATATAAAACCAGGAATTGCATATGTTTACATATCAGTGTAGCTGTATGTTTTGTTTTTGTGTACCTTTTAGTTAAGGTGAAGATATTGATGAAGTGTTGTGTGAGGATGTGACAAAGCTAAACTTGACACTGAAATTCTGGAGACTGAAGGAAGGAAAGAGTTTCTGAAATAGCATCCAAGACTTGGTTTTCTTCTCTAATGAAGGATCTCTTATGAGATCTGAGTTGAAATTTTTCCAACAATATGCATGTTAGATTGCATAGAAGAGTCTTGACTGTGGCTTCCTTCTTGTAGCTGCTGACAATTAGCACACCCCACCTCCTAGGCAAGTTACTGTTACCACAGTATAATATTCTGCAATTACCTAAATTACTCTAAATTGTTCTGGTTACTTCTAAAGTCAAACTTGCCAATAGCGTTAATCTTCTAAGACTTTGCTTTTGAATGAACAAACATTATGAGCCTACTTAGTTTTCTGTGTATTTTGGCTTACAGAATAGCTTATAATTTCACTTTTACACCTAATACACCTTTTACATCATTCTTCATCATCTCTTATTTCAGTAACTTGCTCGTTCAGAATCGTGGATGGGTAATAGAAGTGCTCTTACCCTCATGCGTACTTACCCAAAAAGATTGTACTGACTGTATTTTATTCAGCCTCATCAAGACTCAGCATCTGTATGAAGAAATTATTTAACCTTGAGATTTTTGAAGATGACTGTAATCGCCTAGTTCTTATTTTATTAGGTCTGGATATGGAGGAAGGAAAAGAAGGTGGGACATGGCTGGGAATCAGTAAGAAAGGCAGGATGGCAGCCCTGACAAACTATATGCAGCCAACGACTGACAAAAATGCAAAAGGAAGAGGTATGAAGGGATATTATTTATATTTTTTATTAATCCTTTTATGAAGGAATGTGTTTTTGATTACTGTCACATTCTGTTGGTGGAAGATATCTTCTGTGGTGTTGTTTGCTTTACCAAGCCCTTCAGATTAGTGAGTTCACGTGGTGAAGTTGCTCTGTGTACTTCTTTCTTAGGTGCTCTTGTAACGAACTTCTTGACTTCAGACCTGGACTGTTACTCTTACTTGAAGAAAATTTCAGTAGAAGGACATCTTTATAACGGATTTAATTTAATAGCAGCTGACTTGAAGTAAGTCTACAAACTTAATTGTCACAGCAGAAAGATAGCAGTAGTGAAGTACATGTATTTGTTAGCACATGAGTGTAATAATAAGAAGCCTGTCACCAGACAAGCTCTCACTTCACTTTCTTTTGCCAGTTGGCAGGTAAGAGCCCAGTGTCACCCTGGTTGTAATTCCCTTTATTTTTTCATCTTTCAAATGCTCAGTGGCTGCCTTGTATTCTGATTCTTAGGAGCTCTTTTCTGTACATTAATTTTTATCGTGGTCTGAGGACTTGATTTCTTGTACTCTCTGCCACACGCTGCTGCCTGGCTGCCTTTCACAGGTTGGAAGGCTATCTGGAATTTCAAAGATAATGGAAGAATTAGTCTTACTATGTTTTTAAGAAAACGCAATACTCAACATGTTTGATGTAAAGTAAGCGGTAAATAGTTTCGATTTTCTTCATTTTAATTTTAATTATAAAAATAAGGTGTGTTTAATAATTGTAAAGCCTGTTAGTGTAATGATGTTAAAGTAGTTTTGATTGATGTTACTAAAATAATAATTCATGTGTTACTATTTAGTTCGCTTGATTTTTTTTTTTTTATTTTTTTACTCTATGCTAAGGTAATAGGGAATTGTCTGCTCAGCTGGATAGACCTTTTGTGGTGATGCAGGTCATGATTTCATGCTAGGTACCACTTTGAAGGCTGTATGTGTTAATTCTCCATTGTGACATCCTTAGCCTTGGATACTCTGCTGAAATGAAATTCTTGGCGAGTTAATGATGCAAAGCAATTTCTATAAAATATATAAACCTGTCATCTTAGGAAATTAGAAATAGTCCTGAGAGGTGTGGTGTACGAATGGAAGCTACTTTCCTATGTAAATAGAAAAACATTATGGTAGCTGATGTTATTTTGTTGAACCATGTTACTGTTCAAAGGAGAGATTGAAGCCTATTCTTAACATGTTCATCTCTTGTATAACAACAGTGACTGGCTCTGCTACAGTGGTGTGAAACGGAGAGGAAACTCCAATTGGAAGAGTAAATGAAGCAGTGTTGGGAAGGGGAATATCTGAGCATATGATACTGCTGTCTGTAGGTGGCATGCTTAAAGAGAGATTGACAATGTTTGAGTTCTCAGGTCCTTAAGAAAACAAGCTTACTTTGCATCAAGGCTAAGACGTCCTTCTAACTCATAGGAAAATAAGGAGCTGGAAATGGCATCTCTTCTTTATTTTGTTTTATGGTACTCAATCCAAATTCAATTTTAACTGCAAGTTCTGTGATGTTTTCTTTTAAATTCAAAGAATATTTCCTGTTTCAGGAGGTGGAGTTTGCTCATGTTTACAGTAATACCTGCCTGCTTTCCATGCAGCAGTTTTGGGTTTTACTGAATTGCATTACCACTGTGTTTAAAAGTGATGATGGTAACATTTGACTGTGGTGTGATAGACTGTTTCAGAGGAGGAGAGTAATGAAATTCATCAGTTAATTTCTGGGCTGTGGTGTCAGAGCAGCAACACTGCCAGCAATATCTTGCTGTGTTTGAAGGTTGTGTGGAATTAGCAAGTAATCAACTACAGAAGCTGATGGTTTTTTCAAGGAGAAATTCTTGTTTGTATTTTTCAGTACCACCAAAGGAGATGTAATTTGCTACTATGGAAACAAAGGAGAACCGGAACCTGTGTTCTTAAATCCTGGTAGGTTCACATCTAAAAGCTTGGAATATTACTCTGTTACTTTAAAGGACTCAGAATATGGTCATGTTCTCCAGTATTTTGGCTGGTTAAGCATTGTGTTTGCTAACTTTCCTTGCATTCTTAAAAATAAATGCTTAAATTCATTTAAGTATTTGCTAATATATCTCAGTAGTGTCCATAGTTTATAACAGCTTCTATCCTTGTCAGTGTTCCAATCTGCACTGCAGTTACTGGAATGTTACTTAATTGTGATCAGGGGACAAAGGTCTGTCTTGAGAAATGGCATTTTCAAAGTCAGAGGTAACTTTTCTTACTTTGCAGAGTTAAGAAGGTAATTTGACTGTGTCCCCCTAGGGACAGAATTGGCTTTAAAAAATAATGAGCTTTTATCTTTAAATCAGGTAGTCTGATTTAAAATATTTAAAATCTAGTCCTTTGCTAGCCAACTATATAGGAGACTCCTGTATTCATCACCAAAAACCAGCAGAAATGGACTGAGACATGCAGAATGCTTTAGCTGGTTGATAGCAGTTGTGAAGGCTGTGTTAATATACAAAGGTTTATTTTGCTTGCTCAAAACAGTCAAAGCGTTGCTGCCAATAAGCAAATAGTTACTGTACCAGTTATGGCATCAATTCTTGGAAACAGCTATTAGATTTTTGTACAACCAGAAGCACAAAACAGACTTTAGCACAAACAAAAAGCTGGTCACTCCTTTATTGTGTTACCTCTGTACAATATGAAATTGAATTTCATTGATTTCATAATGTATGAAGCTTGGAGAATTGGAATTGCTTTACAGAAATAAAGCCAACAATGTAGTGATTAAGAGTTATTTTGTGTTTAGGCTGTGCAGTGCCCTCATGTTTCTGTTAGTGTTGTGCTCTGGGCAGGGAATCTTTGGTATTTCACAAAAGTCTGGGAAAGGTTAAGTTGTTTGAAGTGTTACACACTACATTTACATGGTATGGTTTTTTTTCTCCTTTGTGCATGCACATGTATAGGAATATATGGACTGAGTAATTGTTTGTTGGATACGCCATGGAAGAAACTCCAGTATGGGAAACAGCTCTTCACAGAAGTCATCAACAGAAGTCAAGACCTTGCCAAGGAGGACTTGGTGCAGGAGCTCCTTACAGTGATGAATAATCAAGAGCCGTAAGAAAACAATATAGAGAGGCCAACTTCACAGAAAACAGCTTATTGCCAGAGATAGTATGATGGAAAATGAAAAATAATAACAATAATTTCTTCTACAACTTTTTCAGTCAGTTACCTGACCCTGCAATTGAAGACCAAGGGAAGGAATACATACGTCCTATATTGAACAAGTATGCAGCTGTGTGTGTTCGTTGCCCAGGTTATGGAACAAGGTAATATTTCCTGCTGGACCAAAACATATCTCAATTCAAATGTATGCTGCCATAAATGTTAACTCTTTACTGAGCGTTCTGTGTTTCTTCTGCCTCTGTGCTGTTTCAGGGCAAACACGGTCCTTCTCATTGACGCAGAAGGGAACGTTACTTTCACAGAGCGCACCATGGTCAACGAGGATGTCAGCCAGTGGAAAACAAGCACCTATGAATTCAAACTGCACATGTAACAACTTTCCATTTGAATGCATTGTAATAAAAGCAATGAAAGCAAGCTGTTAAGCTCCAGGAAATGTTTTCTGCCAGCCTCTGGAAGCCAAAAATAGCAAGAGAAGCAAAAGTTGTTTTAAATAGATCGTGTAAGCTATCAATCTCACAAATCCTTTGCATAAAACCAAGTTTCTGGCTGTTCTTATATTAAGTTACAACTTTAAAACAAATTTCTGGCCCCATGGCTTTATTTTATCATCTAAGCTTAAAAAATTGTAAAATCCAATGGAAAGTACCAACAGGATACTGTGACTTGCATATCACTTATTTATTTTTATTTCAACCAAAGCTGAGAATATATGCAGCTTCTTGGAGAATCAATCTTCAGCTAACTTTCAAGTCTAAATTTTGTCTAAAAATTAGATTTTTATCATTTGCACTTGGAATTGAAAGGAAATCAGCTGCAGTTCCATTTCTCACAGGTTCCTCTAATTTCTTTTCGCTCAGATACAAACACACTGCATGATGCCTGAAACCACTGTCTAGCAGCCACAGAACAAAAGATCAGAGGCATCGTGAGGCCACCTGGTCTGACACCTGTTTCCAGGGCAAGGCTGTCTTTGCCCAACGTGCAAGTTGTTCTTTGTTTCTTTGAAGTGTGTTTTAAAGAACTACTAACCCTGCATTCAGTTCAGAGGAGGAGAAACTCTTGCTGCCTTTGTTTTTCACAAAACTCCTCTCCTTTCAATATATAACTTTAAGATTGTAAGTTGATGCCAATGTGCATTGAATGAATGTATGTTTTCTTTGTAGCATTAAGTGCTTTAGTAATATTTAAACTTGTCACTGTGCCACGGTGCATTGTTCTGGAGAGGGTGGGGAGGGAAGAATTCTTTGTTTTGTTTACCTGTAAATAGTACAGCAATAGATCTTAAGTACTCTCAAAGCTAGTTTTAGAACTAAGAAATTAAGTTGTCACTGCTCAGTTTTATTCAGTAAAGTTTAGAGTTGTTTATCTTTGAAAATAATAAAATTGTGCACTGTGACATCTTGTTTGCTGATAATCTCATTAGCAATATTAGGTTTTTTTCCTTCCCAACCAGAGGGATAAGGAATAATTATGCTTGCAAATTGAAACTGAATATGAAGTGACACTAACTTGAGACAACCTTAGTGATCTGCATACCTGGATGTTGCAGTGGAGGTGAAATTTGTAATTATCTATCTATAATTACAAATAAATTGATGGAGAATTCAGAATCACCTTTAGAATGGAATATCTGTTGTAATGTGACTTGATTCAGCCATGCTGAAAAGATCACTCCAGAATTCTGTATCTAATACCTTGTGTAAGTGTGTATTTTTACAAGTGGTCATAGCACAAGGTATGGGAGGGGAGCAAACAGGCAAAAACCCCAGCAAATAGGGCTGGGAAGTTGAAGGATCCATGGTAGCATTTTCAATGGAAGCAGTAGGATTAACAGGCAAGTAAAAAAGAATAACCACCATTTTCTGAGCAGCTTTGGTAAAATTCCACTTTTCAACATGCATTTTGTTTCCATCTCATTCTGTGATTGATATTCTTTGTTTTTACTAAATACCAGTATGAATTATCACAGTACTTACTAAAACTTTGCTTTATTTGCCTTATTAAATAAACAGGTCTCCCCAGAAAACCTTGATTTATATTCAAGCATTATAAAAGTCCATGTGAAGCTCTGATCTCTCTCCTGAAGAGTTTAAGCTAGAAGTGACATTCGGTGATGATGTGTTTTGTGGTTTTTGCTTGTTTTTAAATCTAAAGAAAAGCCTTGGACATGGGTTTCAAATCTTCTAATGAGGATGTGATTATTAGATATGTATGCAACTTGAACTTCATTACATTATTTTGGATAAATATACATGATTGGCTACTAAAAGTAATACAAAAGGTAATAATACTGTGTGCTTGGTCTCTGCAGTTATGACTGTGTAACTGTGACTTAAAATACTTCAAGCAAATATATAAGCTGGCCTTTAAGTAGGCTCTTAAGAGTGTTCTAGTCCTTATTTAATATAATCTAAGTTAATGGGACTTCAGCATACATTTGGTAATCAATATATTTTTAAATATTCTCAGTAAAACGTTCTGGATCTACTTTTATAAAACCTTGGTTTTGAGCTTGTTCTCTGTGCCCTCTGAGGAAAGCACTACATACTGATAGCAGTGAGGTACTTTACAAGCCTGTCCTCTAGTGACAGAGGAGGTGTATTCAATGGATCTCATCTGATATTTCAGCCCTGATGGGCACGCAGCCAGCGGTAGTCAATAACTTATCTGATGGTGTAAACATATTGATTGCTTCTGCTCTGTGAAGAAAACCACATCACTTTTCAGGTGTTAATTAAGATAGATTAAATAATAAGCTGAGAATATGTGGAGCCAATAGTGTCATTTCTTGTAGTACAACATTATAACCAGTATTCAATAACTGGGGCTTTTACCTCTCCTTATGAGAAAGTATTCTTCTTAGAGAAAAAGTGGGAAAGCAAGCTTTTCTCTGGGTATGCTGGCTCACTTGTGAATGGCTGTTGGAAGTCACCATAGAGCCAAGGTCTTAGCCACGTGCATTTATCTGTGTTCTGATTCTCCCATCTCAACTGAATGTATTCCATTTGCAAAGCAATTAGCTGTCCTTTCAGTTAGAGTGTACAAGTGTATGTATAGTAACTACCTACTATATAATATTTAATATATTAATATTTAATTTAATATGTAATACATAATAGTAAATCTTAAACAATTTTTGAGTTCGTGTACAAAAATAATTTCACGTGAAGTAATTATTTTGACACGTGGATTACATTTTTAATTGCACTATATTTAACTTTCTGTGTTTGAGAGCTGTTGCAGGCTTCCAATTTATGTAGCTGCATTTGGAGTGTTACCTGGATGTAGACAAGGCTCAGTCATTTGTACTCTGGCCCCCAATATGTCCAGGTGCCAGGAAAATGGTCTGCTTGGAAGCATCTCCATGCTGAAATTCAAAGGTTAATTTTTACAGAGCTGCAGGTAATCTTGGATCAATTTGCTTCCCCCTCAGTGTCCAATGTAGCTGAAATGTGAATACTGTATACAGTCACCTGCATAGCATAGAGATTAGAAGGTAACACTAAACAGCATCTTAATATCTTAACTAAGGATATCTTTTTTAAAAAAAAGAGCTCCAGATCTTTGAGTGCAGAACAGCACGCTGTAGGCTGTAGCTAGAGTGACTCAGCTCCGTTAATGTGGTCATTATAGTTTCCATCTGCTTAAAAATACATATTGTAAAATACCCACATCTGTTTTACACCTCAAATTTCTTTTATGCCTCAATGATTAGTGTCTGAAGTATGTTTTTAAAGATAAGCCCTACTCATTTTTCTATCATGCATGTCTTTGGAAGGTAAATACCTTTTTTTACTAGAATTACAGTAGTGTAGCCTGAGTTTAAAAATTGTCTTACGGTAGATTTAACTGTTGGAACAGCACAGCACGTACTGCAGTTACTGACATTCAGTCAGAGAACGGAACATTGACCCCACCTAATTCTTACTGCACTGAGTGCAGCCTATGCACTCTTTGGGAAGCCAGCAGTACTTTTCATTACTGAACTCTTCGTTGTTTTGGTGGCAGCGACTGTTTGCCCTGTCGAGGGAAGGGAGAGCTGCGGTTCGCTCCATTAGCAGCGTCTCAAAGCATCAGCTGTTGCATTTTTTGCTGGAATTCAGTTTTATGACTGTGAAAACAGCTGCACAGTGGAAGCTGACGTAGCAGTTGTTTGACTTTCAAACCACTGTGTTTTAATTCTTCCTGACTGACTTTCTGACTCTCACACAGCAGGGTATGCAAAGCTGAGACACGTCCCGTGCTGTGGGAATTGTCTGAACGGAGCTGGGAGGCTTCACGGCTGCGGCCCCCTGCAGCACGGCCTTCCACAGCCCGCCCCGGAGCCCCTCAGCGCAGCTCGGCGGAGCCTGCGCCGCTTCTCGCCCCGGTCGCACGAAGCACTGACGGCCGCACGGCTGCGGACAAAGAAACCGGCCGGGCCCCGCTCCCGTCACGGCCGGCCGCGCCCTCCCGCCGCCTCGGTCCCGCCTCCTGCCCCCTTTCATTGGTCGGGCTTCGTAAGGGCGTGAGCTCCTTGCGTCGTTATTGGTCAAACTATTTAACGTGCTCGAGAATCTGTCAATGGTAACCAGGATTTCAAATTCGAGACGCATGAGACGGGAGACGCCATTGGCTAGCGGAGGGGAGAGTCCCGCCCTCGCGGAGCCGCTCGGAGCAGGAATTTAAAGATGGCGGCCGAGGCGATGGTGGCTCGGAGCAGGGGGCGGCTTTCGTGAGGCGGCCGAGCTCGCCCTCCCACCACCCCCTCGCGGAGGAGAAACCGGAACGCCGGGGATGGCCCAGGTGGGTGCCGGCCTCGTGGGGCAGAGGGAGGCCGTGCGAGAGCGGGCCCAGCCGCCTGGAGGGCTGTAACCCTTCGGTCTCCGCAGGCCGCGGGGCGGCCCCGGCCCGCCGCCCGTTCGGGCAGGCACCGCCGTCAGGCGCCCCGCAGCCGCGCGTTGGCGTTTGTTGCCTTCCCCCCCTCCCCCCCCCCCCCCGCTTCGCTGCGGGCGGCGCTCAGAACAGCAGGAGAGACGGGAGCGCCGCGTTCTCGTCGGGGCCAGAGGGGCCTCGGCTGCGGCCTCGAGCGCTGAGCGCTGCCGCTCCCGGGCCGCACGGCCCTTTGCAGCACGTGCTGCGCGTCCGGCCGCCCCGGGGGGCTGTGGGGCGGTGAGGATGGGGCGGCGTGGCCTGCCGAGCTGCACCGCGCGGCTCCGCGCGTTCCCGCCGCTCGTGCTCTCCGCGGTGAAGCGCCGTGAGGGCTTTCTCTGAATTTCCTCATTCGGTCTCTGGAAGGTTTAGGCTCGAAAACTTCTAAACTTTCTTCTTCTCTCCTGAGAAAGCAGCCTTTCTGTTTTGCACCTCGTTTTTCTTTAAGCTTCGCGTTCATTTCTGCAGCGTTCAGCTGATTGGGATGGGCCCCTCATTATCCC